ATCATAATGGCCGGGGGGGGGCGGGGAAGGTGGGGGGCTTCTCAACTAAGTTTTGTATGGGGATCAGGCTCCGCCCCGAGGACTAATCCCTTAACCCTGCACTTACCATTTTTGACAGACAAGATACCCTTTCCTATACTTTCCATTGACAAATGGTGTCTTTCAACATACCTCGTTGAGAACTTTACATCCCTTTTTTTAATGCTATAAATGCACTCTTTTAAATATGAAACAGGAAAATCACGAAACCAGAACGTTTTCTCGAGTTTTTAACATCTGTAAGCCCTGTCTACGTCTGAATGTACGCTTTTTTATGAAAGTTACTTTTCTTTTAGCTGTAGTAGCCAAGAGTTTAGGAAGTTTAGGAAGACGGGGACGATCGATTCAGCTCGGGATGAAAGGAATGAGCAGTCTCTGCCAAGACGAGTTACCGGAAACCCTGAAAATAATATTGTTTACTATACATGTAGAAATTTAGTTTGTGGCCGACCCCACCATACAAACGTCTGTAAAATTTGGCGACATTGAGGAGCTATATCTTGGTTAGTTTTCAACAAACCCGACTTTTAGACTTTGCAGTTTTTCTAATTTAAATGCGTTCTTTCCATTGGTTGCTTTAGCTTGTCCGTGTCAAAAGTTGAAAATAACGTGGATTATTATTCATTCAAAATATTTTCCCGATTCTGATTGGCTAAAATCACACGTTTAATTCACCATAACCGGTTACTGATGACCAAATTTGGAAGAATTTTGACTTTAACGAGGAAATGACGTCAAAAATGCAGCGTTTTCGCAGGTTAAGGCACCGTTAACCGAGAAGACCTGGGGAGGAGGTTGAGTTGTTTTGGTTGTGAACTTGAAAAAATGGCGGACCTTTTACTTGTTTCAAGAGTAAGAACTAGGCGAAAAAATAGCTAAAAACATGGCAAGAACAGCAAGAAGACAACTCGAGGGGCGACATCTGCTATTTGGAGAATATTTGCGGAGCTGGACAAACCTAAACGTACACTAGCGAAGATGAACTGAACATCGATGGATCGATGGAGGTAAACATGTTTTAGCTATGTTTTTAAACTAGGAATTATTTTGAATGAATAATAAAACAGTTATTGAATTCGGCTTTCGTATCATATGAAGAGTTATGGAGATCTCGGAGGGTATTATCCGCCTCGGCCTACGGCCTCGACGGATAACACCCTCCTTGATCTCCATAATTCTTCATAAGATACTCAGCCTCATTCATTAACTGTTAAATAGTCTATCCTAAATTTAAAGAGGTACCCTTTTGGGCAGCGCCTCCCCATATAGATTATTATAGGGACCCCCCATCCCCAACTCAGCCATCAAGGTATAAGATATGGGAGTTTAAAAATAAACACACTAACACTAGACACGTTAAAGCTTGCTTAGCTGGAGCTTAATGGAGCCGTTACTTTTTCTGACATAACATAGCCAACTTGCACTGAAGGCAAAGTTATATTTTTGGAAAGGGATCGGGTAACGTTACAAACACAAAATCGTGATAGCATGCATAAAATTTTGCTACTTTTGTAACAATTTATACTCTGCCATTTATTTTTGGAATGTTCATCTTTTGACCCTGTTTCAGTACTCTGAAACGGGCTTATGAACAGAGAATAAAAAAGTTCAAAAAAACTTGCCATATAAGGAAATTAAAAGAAACAAGCAAAAACAAACAAACAATACACAGGAACAGAGGATTTACTTATAATATTTACTATATTAATTGGTGAGCACGTAGCACTGATTTCAGAAAACGCTGTTTTCTCGTTCAAGTCTCATCGCCATGGTTCAGTATTTCGCTGTTTTCCTGATTCTCTCTTTTTTTGGCGGCTCACTGGGAACAACCACCTCACCTCAGCAACAAACTGACGCCTCAAAGTTAAAAGACTTATGCCAGGTAAAAAAACACCTAGAAACCGTTTTATTACTCTCACGTCGTTACTATCATTTACTTAAAACTACCCGTTAAAACTGTGTATGGCAGTTTATTTAAAAGTCCCCGCTTCAACATGATTTTTCCTCGAAAACCTGAAGCCTGTCCATTGTTAATTAACAGTTAATGAATGAGGCTGTGTATCTTATGAAGATTTATGGAGATCGAGGAGGGTGTTATTCGACGAGGCCGTAGGCCGAGGCGGATAACACCCTCCAAGATCTCCATAATTCTTCATATGATACGAAAGCCGAATTCAATAACTGTTTTATTATTCATTCAAAGTAATTCCTAGTTTAAAAACATAGCTAAAACATGCTTACCTCCATCGATCCATCGATGTTCAGTTCATCTTCGATAGTGTACGTTTAGGTTTGTCCAACTCCGCAAATATTCTCCAAATAGCAGATGTCGCCATCAAAATACCGGGGTTTTCTGGCAGGCGGTATTTCAACCGCCTCGTCCCTACTCCCTTTTTTTGGAACACGGCTCCGCCGCCAAAACTTTAATCTCGCACCCACACAATACCGCCAGCTACGCAGGCTAATGGCGGGGCGCCACTATGTTGCTATTAAAATTAATTATCAGGCGAGCTTGTACCCTAAAATAATTCATGTACGTTTGTGGTTATGAGATTAGCGAGTGGAAAACATGCTAGACCGTACGAAATGCGTCTTAGTTTTATAAAAAGAGAAACTAGAACTCGTCTTAGGGCGTTCACATTGCACGACTTAGTTGAGTATAAAATAGTAATAAAATGTATAAAAATGTTTCTATCCATTTTCATTGTTTGTTTTGCTATTTGAAAGCTGGTTTACACACAGCGATTGTATGCCCGATTTATCTCCAAAGAAAATATATGGTGATGCAACAGATTATTTTAATCTATCCGGTTTTCAGCCAGTTTTAACCTTTTCGTTTTTCTTTCGAAAAATCATAGCGTGACAACCGGCTTAAAGCCCTTCAGTTACAAGAGCAAGTTTTCTTCTATAAGGAAAACGTCCTCCGCGGTTGCTGCCTAAGCCCCATTATGTTACGTACTCATGCATGACTCACAATTTGTTATCGCTCAGGAAGGGAGCTGCCTCTAACATAAATGTCTCGCAATTGTTTTGCAGCAAGCATGGGTTGCAAAAAGGAAGGTCACGTTCCAAATTATGTAACGACGTCTGCTACAGCAAAAATAAGAACAAGGACGTTGCGTTCTCCTATTGACTGACTCCATAGATCACATAGATCATAATGGCCGGGGGGGGGCGGGGAAGGTGGGGGGCTTCTCAACTAAGTTTTGTATGGGGATCAGGCTCCGCCCCGAGGACTAATCCCTTAACCCTGCACTTACCATTTTTGACAGACAAGATACCCTTTCCTATACTTTCCATTGACAAATGGTGTCTTTCAACATACCTCGTTGAGAACTTTACATCCCTTTTTTTAATGCTATAAATGCACTCTTTTAAATATGAAACAGGAAAATCACGAAACCAGAACGTTTTCTCGAGTTTTTAACATCTGTAAGCCCTGTCTACGTCTGAATGTACGCTTTTTTATGAAAGTTACTTTTCTTTTAGCTGTAGTAGCCAAGAGTTTAGGAAGTTTAGGAAGACGGGGACGATCGATTCAGCTCGGGATGAAAGGAATGAGCAGTCTCTGCCAAGACGAGTTACCGGAAACCCTGAAAATAATATTGTTTACTATACATGTAGAAATTTAGTTTGTGGCCGACCCCACCATACAAACGTCTGTAAAATTTGGCGACATTGAGGAGCTATATCTTGGTTAGTTTTCAACAAACCCGACTTTTAGACTTTGCAGTTTTTCTAATTTAAATGCGTTCTTTCCATTGGTTGCTTTAGCTTGTCCGTGTCAAAAGTTGAAAATAACGTGGATTATTATTCATTCAAAATATTTTCCCGATTCTGATTGGCTAAAATCACACGTTTAATTCACCATAACCGGTTACTGATGACCAAATTTGGAAGAATTTTGACTTTAACGAGGAAATGACGTCAAAAATGCAGCGTTTTCGCAGGTTAAGGCACCGTTAACCGAGAAGACCTGGGGAGGAGGTTGAGTTGTTTTGGTTGTGAACTTGAAAAAATGGCGGACCTTTTACTTGTTTCAAGAGTAAGAACTAGGCGAAAAAATAGCTAAAAACATGGCAAGAACAGCAAGAAGACAACTCGAAGGGCGACATCTGCTATTTGGAGAATATTTGCGGAGCTGGACAAACCTAAACGTACACTAGCGAAGATGAACTGAACATCGATGGATCGATGGAGGTAAACATGTTTTAGCTATGTTTTTAAACTAGGAATTATTTTGAATGAATAATAAAACAGTTATTGAATTCGGCTTTCGTATCATATGAAGAGTTATGGAGATCTCGGAGGGTATTATCCGCCTCGGCCTACGGCCTCGACGGATAACACCCTCCTTGATCTCCATAATTCTTCATAAGATACTCAGCCTCATTCGTTAACTGTTAAATAGTCTATCCTAAATTTAAAGAGGTACCCTTTTGGGCAGCGCCTCCCCATATAGATTATTATAGGGACCCCCCATCCCCAACTCAGCCATCAAGGTATAAGATATGGGAGTTTAAAAATAAACACACTAACACTAGACACGTTAAAGCTTGCTTAGCTGGAGCTTAATGGAGCCGTTACTTTTTCTGACATAACATAGCCAACTTGCACTGAAGGCAAAGTTATATTTTTGGAAAGGGATCGGGTAACGTTACAAACACAAAATCGTGATAGCATGCATAAAATTTTGCTACTTTTGTAACAATTTATACTCTGCCATTTATTTTTGGAATGTTCATCTTTTGACCCTGTTTCAGTACTCTGAAACGGGCTTATGAACAGAGAATAAAAAAGTTCAAAAAAACTTGCCATATAAGGAAATTAAAAGAAACAAGCAAAAACAAACAAACAATACACAGGAACAGAGGATTTACTTATAATATTTACTATATTAATTGGTGAGCACGTAGCACTGATTTCAGAAAACGCTGTTTTCTCGTTCAAGTCTCATCGCCATGGTTCAGTATTTCGCTGTTTTCCTGATTCTCTCTTTTTTTGGCGGCTCACTGGGAACAACCACCTCACCTCAGCAACAAACTGACGCCTCAAAGTTAAAAGACTTATGCCAGGTAAAAAAACACCTAGAAACCGTTTTATTACTCTCACGTCGTTACTATCATTTACTTAAAACTACCCGTTAAAACTGTGTATGGCAGTTTATTTAAAAGTCCCCGCTTCAACATGATTTTTCCTCGAAAACCTGAAGCCTGTCCATTGTTAATTAACAGTTAATGAATGAGGCTGTGTATCTTATGAAGATTTATGGAGATCGAGGAGGGTGTTATTCGACGAGGCCGTAGGCCGAGGCGGATAACACCCTCCAAGATCTCCATAATTCTTCATATGATACGAAAGCCGAATTCAGTAACTGTTTTATTATTCATTCAAAGTAATTCCTAGTTTAAAAACATAGCTAAAACATGCTTACCTCCATCGATCCATCGATGTTCAGTTCATCTTCGATAGTGTACGTTTAGGTTTGTCCAACTCCGCAAATATTCTCCAAATAGCAGATGTCGCCCCTCGAGTTGTCTTCTTGCTGTTCTTGCCATGTTTTTAGCTATTTTTTCGCCTGGTTCTTACTCTTGAAACGAGTGAAATGTCCGCCATTTTTTCAAGTTCACAACCAAAACAACTCAACCTCGTGCCCAGGTCTTCTCGGTTAACGGTGCTTTAACCTGCGAAAACGCTGCATTTTTGACGTCATTTCCTCGTTAAAGTCAAAATTCCTCCAAATTTGGTCATGGGTAACTGGTTATGGTGAATTAAACGTGTGATTTTAGCCAATCAGAATCGGGGAAATATAAGGCGAGATAACAGAGGATTATGATATGATTATGATTATGATATCCAAGGTCTATTCCGTGCCTCGAAAACAAGGAAGACGGCTGGTGGGTATAGACTTTGTCGACTTTGGTCTGTAATCATTGTTTGCGAGTAAGCTACTGGCGTGTATCAACGTATTTATCCTTTCAATTCCAAATGAGAAGGAAAGAGAAATAATCATGTGAATTCTTTTTCGTTGCTGTTCTAAATTAATCTAAGTATAAATGATGACATGCCTAATTTAATTCTTAGAGTTAAGGCCTGAAAACGGGTGTAAAAAATGACGTGTTTTGGTCTGAAATAGAGTCAGGATTTGGAGAACCGGGCGGCACACCCCCACTAAGAATTCCCAAGAGTACCCTCCCTCCCCCCACCCCCGCCTTATTTAAGATCCCGTGTTGTCTTCGTCTCAGCTAATTACAAGTCATCTTTAATTTCAGCGATCTATGCTGGGTTTTCTTGGTATTCCAGGATCAAATGGTATACCGGGAGTGCCGGGCGTTCCGGGGCCACACGGACCCCGGGGAAGGGAAGGTGTAAAAGGACAAATTGGTGATAAAGGATCGCAAGGAATGCCGGGTCCGAGAGGAGACAGAGGGCGCGAAGGACCCCCTGGGAAGAGTGGACCCCGAGGAATTAAGGGAATGAAAGGTCAACAGGGACTTCTGGGAATGAAAGGAGAGCCAGGCATTGTGGGAATTAAAGGAGCACGAGGCATTATGGGGAATCAAGGAAAAAAGGAGACAGAGGAGAAAAAGGAGAAAGCGCCAAAGCAAGTCAAGCAAGAGTAGTACCACAAACCAACTGGAAACAATGTGTGTGGAAATCATACAGCAACACTGATAACGGAACGATTAAGGTAATCAGAATAAGAATCATTCATAACACCTTCCAAAGAAAATTTACACCTTTTAATTTAATATATTTCAGAGAAGAACGTCTCCCCTCTCACCAACCGTCTGCCAACACGTTACATAAAGAAATAAGTTACATATCTCTCAACTTGGGTTCTTTAGGATCGAAAAAAGGAAAACAATCGTACGTGATCAAATGATTCCTGGCCATATGGATGTGGAAAACAAAAATTTAAGCTATTACAGAGTTTTCAAAAATTCGCAAGTAATCTTGACTGGAGATGTTAGTATCAATCATTACACACGGTTGCTTGCCTTGTTACAAAAGGTTTGATTTTATTCCAGGACTGTGCGTTTAACAAACTGCAGTCTAATTCAGCGCTCAGATTCTCATTCCAGGGAAACATGGGTAGTTCCAAGTGTAACCGATGGTATTTCAAGTTTAATGGAAATTAATGCAGTGGACCAATGACGATTGAGGCTGCTGTTCACAACTACTTGCCATATGACCCTTTTCTAAATCGTCATCGGTCATTTAAGGTGTACTGTGTAAACATCCCACAAGGCGCTGTTAGAGTGGAATTATGGGTAGGACAGAGTAGTGGCGTGCCCCTGGGTGATGCTTACACTGGGTGGAATTCAGTGTCCCGGATAATGATAGAAGAAGTATCTAGGCCCCAATCCTAATAGGGGAAGTCTTTAACTTTGTCGCTGTTTCAATTTTCTTAAAATAGCATTCTACAAATATAGACTGTAAAGAGCAAGGTGCGAAAGTAGTGATTTTGGTTATTATATATTTTTTGCCCGTTGTGGCTACTTTCGTCGTATAAAAACATAATTTTGTATTATTATGGCGGCATGTTAGTCTTATTCGTGCACTTTGGTGCAGCAGTTCTTTAGTTCTTTTGAGGGAAGGCACCTTTCGTGACGACACAATAACCGGCTGAGCTCGTAGAGGATTGGTCCCCCATACAGCCGTTTGTCTTGTCACGCACCGCTCCTTCCTTTGTGGTGACGAGACAAAAATGGCTGTGATAGAGAACGATTGATTGGCAATCCCTTTTTTATATGGTACGTTATGGAAGAAAGATATATATCAATACAGCATATCTCAGGGGAACCCATTCTCCTTTGGCTAAGAATTTTGTCGTTCATTTTTTGAAGTCTATAAATATGTAGTTAAAGTCAAGACCGTGATATAATCTTTCATCTCAGCGAAAGAAAACAACTGCCGAAGAAAACGATTTAATTAAATGATGCTGGTGAATAGAGAGGAGAAGTCGTTACGTCACGTTGCCCTGGTAGCAACATTTTTGAATGACAACAAACCAAAACGTCACTTAAAAAGTGAATTTAACTGTTTCAAACTTCATCGATCTTATTTAATTTCATTTTATTTGTCAAATGATGGCGAAATTTTCTGTGTTAAATCCGAAAGGACTGTATGTACATTGTAAGTTTAGAAAAAGAATAACAAAATTTTTGTTTTGTGCTCACCAACTCCAGCAAGCGCGTGAAATTCAGAAGTTTCATGTCGCGGTCGTGTAACAACGGCTAAGAAATGTGCAAAAAAGCTTGATGCGCGTGCAAAGACGTTTTTTTTGCCAATCTCGACCTTTTGTTTTTTTACTGTTCGGCGTCGCCGTTGCAAAAACTCCCTATTGTTGTCATCCAGACATTTTGCTACCATGGTAACGTGACGTCACACGTCTTTTCTCTATTAAATCTTTAATCAATGCACGATTCCTAGTTTGTAGCTAATCATTTGGAGGCAAAACCATTATTAAAATCGGTTAAGAATTTTGAGGATAAAAATCGCACCTTGTAAAATTTATAACAATTATCTGGAAAGATGAATGTGATAATAGGATAACTTGATTATCTCTAGCCTGCGTGGCAGGCGCTCGAAAGGGAAGGGAAGTGAATTTAATTTAGGCGCGAGAACGCGCTAGGGAGAAGGAACGAGAGGCGCGTCCACCTTCCTCCTTCCTCGCGCGCCCTTCGTGCTTCCCACGCGACCCTTACCCTCTTTCCCTTCCCTTTGAAAGACCAGATTATCTCTCAAAAAGTGGCGAAAAAATGGAATGTTTTTACTCGTAACATTGAGATTCTTGTCAAACCTTCCCATTATGTTTATAGCATTTTTGTTATATTTCTTTCATCTCAGTGTAGTTTGCTTCAATGTGTTATTAAAGCTTCCAATAAGAGACAATGTCTTACAGTTTGTACAAATCTTGTCCATTATTTTTCCCTAACAAATACTAGTCAGAGAGATCAATTGAACTTATTATGTCATCTCCTAACAGAGAATTTGCCGTACAGTCTCTCAATATCGATCTATCCAATGCAGCTATTTGCAGACTTTTCTGTAGCCTGCGGAAACATCCGTTTCTCCCCGCTCTTCGCCGCCGGGGACGTTTCGCGAGTTCCTCCGCGCGAAACGTCTCCATCGGCGAAAAGCGAGAAGAAACGGATGTTTTCGCAGGATAACTTTTCTGGTGGTTTAAACAAAAATAAAAAGCCTCTATGAACTATTTACATTTGAAAAAGTTAGATATCGAAATATTTTATATCAGAGGAGGAAGTGGTAGTTGGTTTCCAGGGTTTCTTTTCTTAGAAAATTGGTGGGAGGTGGGGGGGGGGGGGGGGGTCTCACTTTTGTTAAGACTAAAAAAACCGTGGGTTGACGTACCCTGGAACAGAAAACGAAACGAGAAAATAAGAGTGTTATTGAGAGATATATTTTTTTTGGTGTAAAAAAAAAAAAAAAAATCTCTATAGAATATATTTATTTTAAAAATATTATAAAAAAAAAATTTTTTAAAAAGGGGGGGAGGGGGAGTTTGGTTTCGGGGGTTTTTTTTTTAAAAAAATGGGGGGGGGGGGGGGGGGGGGGGGGCGTCTCAATCATTTGTATACCTAAATAACCAGTGCTGTAAATTACCCGGTACAGGGTACCGTATGGGTATCTCCTACCGGGCATACCATACAGTAAGTTATAGCAAGTTAAGACGTCACAGTACGAACGTCCGTCAAGAGTACAGTTTTCTTTTATTTATCAAGCCTTTTATTTCTGTGTACGTTTTTAAATACCATCAGTGTAACGACTTTATCTTTTTTTCCTGTGTTTTTTTTTTTATGTTTAAGATAAAACGACTAGATTTATCTGGGTATAATTCACACTTAAGTGACGCAGCTCCGTTTGATTGTGTAACATTCACTAACCCGCCGCGCTACGGGCCAATCAGTCTCGGTTCGCCTCGCGCTCTACGCCAGCTCGATCTAGTTTTGATTCTCTTCCCACCCACCCCTTTATTATCTTTCTTACTTTTGTTTTATTGTATATTGCATTGTTGTAGCTTGTCACCTTCGGCAGACGTTTGTGATTACCTTTTTGATTGCATGCGGGTATCGAAATTAGGCTCTTGGAGAGCAGTCAGTTCTACCATCGTAACCGAAAAAACGTTTCCTCGATGTTTCAGCCGGAGGTAAACTAATAAAAGGTTAGAATAGACAAAAAAACATTGTACCTATGATAAAAGAGCACCAACGTATAACAAACTGGATAACTGGATAATGCAATTCTAGAGCTCTGATTGGCTTAGCCATCAGTATATGAGGCATTGTACCATTCTCTCTAAATATGGTAACTGTACGCGTCTGCTAAAAAAATTAAAAACAAGCTGAAAATCGGATGTGTTTGCAAATAAAGTCGGCAAGAATTTTCGACATTTTGTTGGCATTTTTAATAAAACAATTATTCCACTAGCGCTTTTTTTTTTAGCTGTTGGATATAACATGATTATAGCGCGTCAATTCATAGGAGCTCCTCTGATTTTACATCTGGGTCAGGAGGAAACCCAAGGAGAATGATGCAATAACGTTTGTGGTATAGTTAATAGCCGCCTTTGCCCAGTAAGAATACACCTAAAATAAACAAAGGAACTAGCCTAGGTATCAAACAACGTGGCTTATGAACCCAAGGCTTCTTGCAGTATAAAAACATGCACGTATTACATAGTGATAACTGCCTGCAAACTACCTTTCACAACTAACGAGAAGGCGTAAGAATCACTGAATTTCGTTAGTCAGCTAAACCTAAACTATAGTTTAAACATCTATAACAAATAAATTGACCTGTTCTAAGAAGACTGCAAGATATTGCTATATTAGAGGGTCTCAAGGGGGTGGTGGCTTTTACGGTTATCGGAAAAAAATTTGGCTCTTTTACGGCTATCGATTAATTTTTTTTTTCAGTTCCGGTTAACGAAAAAGTTAAAAATTAACTTCTTTTGTTTCAAAAAGTTAAATATTGATTAACCCGTATTTTTTTTTTTTTTTTTTTTTTTTTTTACAAAATAAAGGTCTTCGGATCATCTCGGGTTGAAATAAGCTATTCTTTTGAAAAATCTTTAACTTTCGATAGATCATACTTTTTATAAAGTATTCCACTTCTAAAATTATTTTACACATAGAAATATCAATAGTCAATTTAAAATTAATCTTTGTGAAAAAGCAAAAGCAGACACGCAAACGCCCAACTCAAGGCCGGGGCGCGACATTCACTATAACAGAAATGGCAGTTTTCACACTAGAGAAGGATTATTCGTGTGAGACGGGTTATCCGTTTGATGATTCGCGTCAGATAGGTAACACGTCTTAATTTGAAAATGGAATAGTTTTAATTTTGAATGAACAATCCGCCTGACTTTTGAAGACGGGATTATCCGCTCCAGATAGCCTGTGTACAGCCGCCCCCTCCCCCCAGAAAAAATCGGAGAATGGGTGTCTTTGGGAAGGGCGCGACTGTACACAGGTTAGTCTCAGACGGATGATCCATTTCTAGCTCTAGTGTGAAAACGGCCAATAACAAAATTCTCGTGTCCAGTGCGAAGGACTGTAACGAACGACTGTCTGCCGTTGCCTTGTCCATAGGT